TGATGGTTTGTCTGATGAAGATTTAGGGACAGATGATGAGGAGTATCTTCAGGCTATGAGAGAAGCTTTGGACTCCAGACAGTCAACAGATGATGGAGATGCAAACATGTCATTTGCACAACCATCTTCACATCATGAGGCTGATGACAACAATATACCTGCAAGAGATAATGAGTCAGAATATGAAGATTCTGAAGGGAATGTCAACACTGACTCATCTAGTGGTGATGATGATGATGAAGCAAGGCCTAAGAAGAAAAAAATAGTTTATGATGGAAAAGGAGATCTGCAGACCTTCCAATTTCAGCTTGGGATGAGATTTGAAACCATTGGGCAATGTAGGAAGGCAGTTCAGAATTATGCAATTTATAATGGCTGCAACATAAGTTTTGTCAGAAGTAGTTCAAGTCAGATTGAAGCTAGGTGTGAAGTTGGTTGTCCATGGAGGCTTTATGCTAGTCTGATAAAAGGTGAAGGTAGTGTGGCTGTGAAGACCTTTGTTAGTAGCCACAGCTGCCATAGGGACTTGAACACTAAACAAGCAACTGCTTCTTGGGTTGCTGGGGAATATCTACCTATGATTAGAAAGAAGCCTAAGATGAAAATTTCTGACTTAGAGGATTCTATCAGTGAAAAATATGGTGTGCAACCCTCTAGGTGGAAACTGTACAAAGCAAAAACTAAGGCTCTTAAACTGCTTAGAGGTACAGAGGAGGAGCACTATGGAAAACTTAGGAAGTACATTGCAGAGCTTCAAAGGGTTGATAGAAATGGCACATTTCAGCTGAAATTGGAGAGTGGCAGTGTATTCAAATGTTTTTATGTAGGTTTTAGTGCACTAAGACACGGTTTCTTGCAAGGCTGTAGGCCAATTATTGGCCTTGATGGGGCTTTCTTGAAGACCTTTTTAGGAGGTGTATTATTGTGTGCTGTTGGGAAGGATGGGAACAACCAGATATTTCCATTGGCATGGGCAGTTGTGGATTCTGAGAATGAAAGCAATTGGAAATGGTTTCTAGACATACTTTTTCAAGATTTGGGGATATCAGATGGACTTGGATGGACATTTATCAGTGATCAGCAAAAGGTTAGTTCTTTCAATATGTGCACTAATATATTTGGTTGTTTGACTTATCTTTAATATATGTTCTGACTTATCTCATTATGTAGGGACTCATTGCTGCTATAAGGGACCTCTCACCACATGCAGAACATAGAAATTGTGCACGACATGTGTACATGAATTTGAAGAAATCACACAAAGGCAGTGCACTGAAGAGCTGTTTCTGGAGGGTAGTGCATAGCACACACAAGGCAGAATATAAGGAAGCACTTGAAGGGATGAAGACAGTGGCTAAGGAGGCTTATGATGATTTCATGGGCATGGAAAATTTCAGGTTCTGTAAAGCCTTTATCCTTGAGAATCCAAAATGTGATATGATACTTAATAATGTATGTGAAACTTTCAACAGTACCATAGTGAAGGCAAGAAAAAAACCAATTGTTGAGATGCTTGAGAGTATTAGAACTTATGTAATGGAAAGACAGCATCACAAACTAATGTTGACTAGTGGACTGAATGACACAATATGTCCTAGGATAAGGAAAAAAATTGAGGAAAATAAGTTGAGAAGTAGGTTGTGTGTGACAAAACCTGCAGTGGGTGAAAAATTTCAAGTTGCCATATCAGATGATCAGTTTGTGGTTGATTTGAAGTGCCTGACATGTAGTTGTAGAAGCTGGGATATATCTGGTATACCATGTATCCATGCTTGTTCTGCAATTCAGTACATGAAGAGGGATGTAGTGGACTTTGTCAGCTCATACTTCAGTGTAGAAAGAAATTTGAAAGCATACTCTTTTAGTCTTGAACCATTAAATGGGCCTAAAATGTGGCCTGAAGCATCTGGGTCCACTGTGAAGCCACCTCCATTTAAAAAGATGCCTGGTAGACCTAAAATAAAAAGGAGAAAAGCTCCTGAAGAAGAGGCCAAAAGTGACACTAAGCTGAAGAGATTTGGACTACAAATGACTGTCCAAAAATGCAAGAAAATTGGGCATAACATCAGGACTTGCCGCAATGAAGCTGCTCCTGCACAGACAAGAGTAAGTTTAATTGTTTTTGCTTATTTATAAACTTTTATAATGCATTCTGTTCATATCCTTGTTGATAAATTGTAGAAAAAGAGAGGGAGACCAAGTACAAGGGAGCAACATGTGGAGTCTTCTGCAAAAGATTGGACTGTAACACCAACACCAGCAGTCCCAACACCAACAATCCCAACACCAACAAATTCAACATCAACCAACCCACCACCAGTCCCAACACCAGCCCCAATAGAAGCCCTAAGAGCACCAACAAAAGCACCACAAACACAAGCCCCAACAGCACCACCAACACAAGCCCCATCCACAAAAGCAACCACAAGCACAAGAGCAACCAAGGTCACAAGAGCAGCTTCAGCCACAAGAACAGCCCCAACTACTAGATCAGCCACGG